GCAGCCGGAAATTTGGGACGAAGTTATCCCAGCAGCGAAAGTTCAAAGATGTAAGGAGAGCAGAAGATTAACTGTACAGATCGGTTTTATTCAGAGTACTATAGACCCATATACTTCCTAATAACTATCACAAAAACACGGAGGCTTGTAATCATCGCAATATGTCGTGATATTTTATCAATCACTGGCCTAGTTTTAGTCATCGTTAGGAAATCTTCCCATTTCAGTTGTTCATCTTCACATGTAATGAGTTCATCATCCTATTTCCTTCTTTCATTTATTTTTATATTTCATTCGTTGATTTTCATATTTCATTGTTTCATGTTTACCATTCATTTTACTTCAATTTTGATGTAGGTTAATTGTGTAATTGATAGAATCAGTTGGGATTTAATTAAACCGATGATTTGTTTTAAACTATCGCGAGGCGAATTTTTATTGAATTAAACTAAGCCACAAACTCTTATAGGGTCACTCCTTTGGAAATAAATAGCGAACTCAACACTCCTGATTATGACAACAGAGTTTTAACGAAATGGCGCACTCATAGTGATGTTAGGTTAAATGACATTATCATAGCATGGGTACAGGCATGTTAGGTTAAATGACATTATCATAGCATGGGTACAGGCATGTTAGGTTAAATGATATTATCATAGCATGGGTACCGGCATGTTAGGTTAAATGATATTATCATAGCATGGGTACATGCATGTTAGGTTAAATGACATTATCATAGCATGGGTACAGGCATGTTAGGTTAAATGACATTATCATAGCATGGGTACAGCCATGTTAGGTTAAATGACATTATCATAGCATGGGTACAGGCAAGTTTGGTTAAATGACATTATCATAGCATGGGTACCGGCATGTTAGGTTAAATGATATTATCATAGCATGGGTACCGGCATGTTAGGTTAAATGACATTATCATAGCATGGGTACAGCCGTGTTAGGTTAAATGACATTATCATAGCATGGGTACAGTCATGTTAGATTAAATGACATTATCATAGCATGGGTACAGCCATGTTTGGTTAAATGACATTATCATAGCATGGGTACAGGCATGTTAGGTTAAATGACATTATCATAGCATGGGTACAGGCATGTTAGGTTAAATGACATTATCATAGCATGGGTACAGGCATGTTAGGTTAAATGACATTATCATAGCATGGGTACAGGCATGTTAGGTTAAATGACATTATCATAGCATGGGTACAGGCATGTTAGGTTAAATGACATTATCATAGCATGGGTACAGGCATGTTAGGTTAAATGACATTATCATAGCATGGGTACATGCATGTTAGGTTAAATGACATTATCATAGCATGGGTACATGCATGTTAGGTTAAATGACATTATCATAGCATGGGTACAGCCATGTTAGGTTAAATGACATTATCATAGCATGGGTACAGGCATGTTAGGTTAAATGACATTATCATAGCATTGGTACAGGCATGCTAGGTTAAATAACATTATCATAGCATGGGTACAGGCATGTTAGGTTAAATGACATTATCATAGCATGGGTAAAGCCATGTTAGGTTAAAGACATTATCATAGCACGGGTACAGCCATGTTAGGTTAAATGACATTATCATAGCATGGGTACAGGCATGTTAGGTTAAATGACATTATCATAGCATGGGTACAGGCATGTTAGGTTAAATGACATTATCATAGTATGGGTACAGCCTTGTTAGGTTAAATGACATTATCATAGCATGGGTAATCCATGTTAGGTTAAATGACATTATCATAGCATGGGTACAGCCATGTTAGGTTAAATGACATTATCATAGCATGGGTACAGCCATGTTAGGTTAAATGACATTATCATAGCATGGGTACAGCCATGTTAGGTTAAATGACATTATCATAGCATGGGTACAGGCATGTTAGGTTAAATGGCATTATCATAGCACGGGTACAGCCATATTAGGTTAAATGACATTATCATAGCATGGGTACAGGCATGTTAGCCTAATTGGCACACTCATAGTGTGGGTATAGCAATGTTAGACTAAACACACCAATCAATATTGTACATATATAAGCAATTTGTTTTCCTTTTTTTTTACATTGTACACTACTGTACATATATAAGCAGTGTGTGTCCTGTTTTGTTGACAGTGTACATAACCCTAACTCTAACAATACTGTATATATATATATATAAGCAATATGTCCCATTTTTTACAATGTACAGTATAGTAAATCCATAAGTCTATTAAATCTCTCCAATAACATTATGGTAAAATTAAATTAACAACACAGTGAGAGAATTTCTGATTGCATACTGTAGCATTGATAACATTGCACTGATACAGTGCATGTGCTACGTCATTCCATTGGCGTATATCGAAAAGATAGTTAAACATTTCACCTGTTGAGATTAGAACAAAACACTAAATCAAAAGATAACTATGTTTTGACGAATCATGCTCAGTGATTGATTCAACAGACCCGGTTAAAAATACAATTTGTTTCCTATGCCATTAGGATATATTCGTGGTACTGGTTGTGTTTATAACCACTGGTAGAAGGTGAGTTTCATCTGGTGAAAATAGTTCTCTGGTTACAGCACATTCTTTGTTACCTGTAATCGTACGTAGGTTGTTTTTTTTTTTTGTTTTTTTTTAAATAATCCGACGAATTGAAACACTATTACAAAATCGTCTGTCACAATGACTTTCTATGTTTGTTTTCCTAAATAATGTCTCATCAAAATGTTTTATGATTTTTATTTATATACATGCTATAATCTATGCGTAGCATATCATCTATGCCTAACCTAATTACCCCCCCCCCGGCCAAAAGCTCGTATTGACTACATCAATTTCAACTGGTGGTCCGACTATTTGTATTGGTCTTCGTAACACACCACATCTGTGTCGGTCGAGCTTTAGTCCCGGAAACCACCAGCCTCTCATTAAGTATCATGTGTGTAATTTGACATTTTTAAAATATACATTTAATTGAATTTTTTTTTTTTTTCAAAATCAGTTTATACTTATGACGAGCCAATTTAATTAATAGTTATTATAATTTTTGGTGCCATTCGTGTTTTCTTGTGTGACGTCACGCCGTCGCTTAAATGAATCGTCATGAAAATGGTTATCTCCCTTGTTTTGTTGTGGCCCTTGTCACTTGTCACATCATTGAATGTGGCAGCTTGTGGCCATCCTTAAAATTACACTCACCGTAATTTGTCAACCATGGAGATATATTTCAGTTTTGGGTTTTCTAATTTGAATATCCCCCCCCCNCGCCGTCGCTTAAATGAATCGTCATGAAAATGGTTATCTCCCTTGTTTTGTTGTGGCCCTTGTCACTTGTCACATCATTGATTGTGGCAGCTTGTGGCCATCCTTAAAATTACACTCACCGTAATTTGTCAACCATGGAGATATATTTCAGTTTTGGGTTTTCTAATTTGAATATCCCCCCCCCGCACCCCCCCCCTTTCTCTCCTCATATTTTCTTCTAATGTCAGATAACACCGATGTACCAGAATGTTATAATTCTTCAGTTTTCATTTTTTTTTAAAACTGATTAACGTCTTTTTAAAATATAAAGTACGATTATTTTCATTTATGATTAGTGCCATATTAAACAGGTTAATGGAAAATGTTAACAAACTATTTACGATCAACTTGTTGAATAACGAACTGATTGTAAACGAAAGTGTGTGTGCGTGCGTGTGTGCTTGTGTGCTTGTGTGTGTGTGTGCTTGTGTGTGTGTGTGCCCCTGACTCGTGCTGGGAATGGAACGCAAAGCAGATTTAAACTTTTGTGGATCTTGTTATCAATTCCCAGCAGAGGCAAACCGAAGGTGTGTGGTGTCCACGAGGCGTGTGGTGTCAAAGAGGCATGTCGTGTCAAAGAAGCATGTGGTGTATACGAGCCATATGGTGTTGACGAGGCGTGGGGTGTTCACGAGGCGTGTGTTGTTCACGAGGCGTGTGGTGTTCACGAGGCGTGTGGTGTTCACGAGGCGTGTGGTGTTCACGAGGCGTGTGGTGTTCACGAGGCGTGTGGTGTTCACGAGGCGTCTTGTGTTCACGAGGCGTGTGGTGTTCACGAGGAGTGTGATGTTCACGATGTGGTGTTCAGGAGGCGTGTGGTGTTCACGAGGCGTGTGGTGTTCACGAGGCGTGTGGTGTTCACGAGGCGTGTGGTGTTCACGAGGTGTGTGGTGTTCACGAGGCGTGTGGTGTTCACGAGGTGTGTGGTGTTCACGAGGCGTGTGGTGTTCACGAGGTGTGTGGTGTTCACGAGGTGTGTGGTGGTCACGAGGCGTGTGGTGTTCACGAGGTGTGTGGTGTTCACGAGGCGTGTGGTGTTCACGAGGCGTGTTGTGTCCACTTCAAGCACGAACATTCCGTCCGCATCAAGCTTGAGAGACCTATTTTTACTTTACTTTGATTTAAAACAACTTCAAATCAACATATACATAGATGCTACTAGATCTTAGTACACATAGATGCTAGTCAATATAAGTACACATAGATGCTGGTGTTTATTGGTACATAGATGCTAGTCGATATATTTTATTCTTATAAACAAATCAAAAACAGACTAACTAACAAAAAAAAACAAAAAAACAATTAAAGTATGTGTGCGGCTCTTCGATTTTGCGCCCCATTCCCACCCCTTTCCTAAACAAATGACACCCACGGCACGTTCCATAAGTTGCCAGACCCACGGTACGCCTCTGCTTTTTAACAATTCCTGTCATGAATTATTGAATTTCTCCAAATTCTTGATCGTCCGAGGAGTCTGTCTCGTAACCGTGTCAGTAAAGAATGATGAGAAGTCAAGCTTATTTTAAACTTTTCAATGTCAACGTTCTTGATTGTTTTATAAAGATAAAACTTTGATCCATAATCTGATTGTAGATACAAAAAGGTGACAGTTAAACCACATTGACCTCGCACCTGATGTAGGAATACATGATCCCTAGATCGATGTGTGTCATGAGACTGATCACAGTGAGTGAGGTGCTGGCCATTCGAGTGTTATACCTATTAGTTAAATTCAACAATTTTATAATGACCAACTGTTTTCCATGACAGCGGGGTCATTTGAGCCACCCCCGCATGAAACGCTTTAGGATGGTTTACTACATCAGTAAGTAGTTCCAATAAAAAGGTGGGTTATTAGCATAAAGTACAGCAGCCTGTATCGGTAAACGGTGGCATTTTGTTCACACAGCTGGACCAGGTTTGTAGAATGCGTGTGCAGGGAATTTTCTCACTGCGTGCTTTTTGAATGTTTTTAGAGTTGTGGGACAACCACCAGGGTCGATTAGGTGTTGGGCGGGACAGCCACCAGGGTTGATTAGGTGGTGGGTGGGACAGCCACCAGGGTTGATTTGGTGGTGGGTGGGACAGCCACCAGGGTTGATTTGGTGGTGGGTGGGACAGCCACCAGGGTTGATTAGGTGATGGGTGGGACAGCCACCAGGTTTGATTTGGTGGTGGTTGGGACAGCCACCAGGGTTGATTAGGCGGTGGGTGGGATAGCCACCAGGGTTGATTAGGTGGTGGATGGGACAGCCACCAGGGTTGATTAGGTGGTGGATGGGACAGCCACCAGGGTTGATTAGGTGGTGGGTGGGACAGCCACCAGGGTTGATTTGGTGGTGGGTGGGACAGCCACCAGGGTTGATTAGGTGGTGGGTGGGACAGCCACCAGGTTTGATTTGGTGGTGGTTGGGACAGCCACCAGGGTTGATTAGGCGGTGGGTGGGACAGCCACCAGGGTTGATTTGGTGTTGAATATACATATTTTCAAACGTAAAACTTACCCGCACGGAGAAACCTTCAGAAACTATCGAGGTATCTGAAGCCGTAATGATGAAATTACCTTTGTACTACTGTTACATTTAGAGTCGAAGGATCTCATCACATGAAATAAATACGCAGCTTGAAACAAGAAATCGATAACCATTGGCGTAGCCAGGGTGAGTGACGCAAGGGCATAGCCAGGGTGTGTGACGCAAGGGCGTAACCAGGGTGAGTTATGCAAGGGTTGTAGCCAGGGTGAGTGACGCAAGGGCGTAGCCAGGGTGAGTTATGCAAGGGCGTAGCAAGGGTGAGTGACGCAAGGGTGTAGTAAGGGTGAGTGACGCAAGGGCGTAGCTAGGGTCAGTTATGCAAGGGCGTAGCAAGGGTGAGTGACGCAAGGGGCGTAGCAAGGGTGAGTGACGCAAGGGCGTAGTAAGGGTGAGTGACGCAAGGGGCGTAGCCAGTGTGAGTGACGCAAGGGCGTAGCCAGTGTGAGTGATGCAAGGGCGTAGCCAGGGTGAGTTATGCAAGGGCATAGCAAGGGTGAGTGACGCAAGGGCGTAGCAAGGGTGAGTTACGCAATGGCGTAGCCAGGGTCAGTGACGCAAGGGACGTAGCCAGGGTGAGTGACACAAGGGGCGTAGCCAGGGTGAGTGACGCAAGGGGCGTAGCCAAGGCTTTTGCCGAGCTCCTTCCACAAAAAAACCACTGACGATGGACGAAAATGACACCCCTCAATATATAGAGAAAAGTTCCATCCGGGCTTCTACGCACTCCCCTTCGTACATCACTGCAGATTACATCTAGCTAAAATCTAGAAAAGAGTTTTAAAAGAAGAAAACCTGTCACCAATTATATTTATTCATTGAAGCCCTTCATTCTCATTAACCCCATTTTATTATATCACGCAGTATAATGATTATTATATTTTGTATACAGAGATGGCAGACGTACAATCAGGAGGAGCACAACTAACCCATGTGTCCAGTGTTAAGGTAGGGTAAAATAAGGTGGGGCACAGCTGACCCACGTGTCCAGTGCCAAAGAAGGGTACACTTAGTAGGGGCACCATGTGTCCAGTGCCAAAGTAGGGTACAATCATGAGGAGCACAGGTGACCCATGTGTCCAGTGCCAAGGTAGGGTACAATCAATAGGGACATAGGTGACACATTTGTCCATTGCCAGGGTAGGGTACAATCAATAGGGGCACAGGTGACACATTTGTCCATTGCCAAGGTAGGGTACAATCAATAGGGGCACAGGTGACACATTTGTCCATTGCCAGGGTAGGGTACAATCAATAGGGGCATAGGTGACACATTTGTCCATTGCCAAGTTAGGGTACAATCAATAGGGGCACAGGTGACACATTTGTCCATTGCCAAGGTAGGGTACAATCAATAGGGGCATAGGTGACACATTTGTCCATTGCCAGGGTAGGGTGTTTCTAAAATAATAATTGAAATGAATGAAGTTTGTAGTTTTTCAAGTGCGCGACACCATCAAATTTGTAACCCGGGTCGATTTCATAATGGACGGAATGAGGTCAAGACTTTGTCTCACAGTTTATGCAACTCAAGCTGTTGCTAAGCTGTATTCATTTTGGTCAAGCTGTTGCTAAGCTGTACTCATTTTGGTCAAGCTGTTGCTAAGCTGTATTCATTTTGAATAGAATTAAACATTGGGAGGGTGTCTGAAATAATGATATTAATTAGTTAATGAATAATCTATCATTTATTTTTGATTACTTTTTCTTTGAAATTTTCACGTAAGCCAGTCGTCTTTATGAAGGGAGTTTTTGTCACGTATCTAAATGGACGCATTGACTCATCGACGCAGAAAGTCTTAGTTTCATAGGTTACAATTAGTGTGAGAGGTAACACAACTGACAGACTCGTAGTTTCATAGATGCATTTACTCGTAAATGCTGGCGTACGTACAGAAACATATTCAAAAAGCTATGGATTCATAGACTCCAGCGCACATTTGTGCAGATACATTAGCACACAGATCCACATATTCATATATCAGTGGATCGATATTCATACAGACATGGTTAATAAATTAGATAGATCTACGGAATCACAAGTACATAGACTCGCAGCTCTATAAAATCACACTTGCGTAGACTCATTGATCTTTAGAATCAGACTTACTTAGACTCATAGAGCTAAGGGATTACAATTACATAAACACATAGATCTATAGAATTACACTTACATGGACGCATAAATCCATTAAAAATATATCGTATCCGGAAATGTGTGTGAAAGAAATTTCATCAACGGAAAATTGATCGACGGAAATTTGATCGAACGAAAATTGTATAGCGTTAACTGAAAAAAATATTCGACCAAATTTCCGTTCGATCAAATTTCCATCGATCAATTTTCCGTCGACGAAATTTCTTTCAAACGAATTCCCGGTAACCAAAAAGTATCACTATTCGAGAACGAAGAAACATGTAACCTTTGATTGGTCCTCCCACAGGGGGAGATTGGTTTGTACGGTCATCACAAACATGGACTCACAGTACTCACCACCACGGTGTTTGCTGTGGGGGAGATGGCCGGCTCAGGAGTGTTGGCCTTACCTGGAGCGATGGCTGGCACGGGTAATTTATAATATAATTTATGCAATTTAATTTTTTAAACTGTTCTTTTATTTATGACATTCTGTTTAGAGGGCCTACAATTTCGTCCAATGGTTGATGGCACTTTTTTTTTTTAAATATCGATATAGATGAGTAAATTTTGAAAATAATAATTTTAAAAAAAAACTATTACTTTTTATAGCAAGAATTTACATATTCATTATTAATTTTATATTTTTAAAAACTGTTTATAGCAGCATTCACCCCGTAGTATTTACTACAGTTATATTTGTATCGCTTACGGATTACATCTAGGTCTATATGCATGTATTTCAAATGTATGTATAGGTGTTATTGAATTGTTTGTTTAAAGCTCTAAGTATTACAGTTATATGTTGATAGTTTTATGAGGGATTACAATTATGTGTGGGTAATTAATTCATGACATCCCAGGCTACGTTGGGATCCTGTTAAACATTGTCTGTGCAGTGGTATCGGCCTACACGGGTGTCCTGCTGGGGAAATGCTGGCTGATGGTCATGAACCGATACCCTGAGTATCAAGAACATTCTCGATACCCGTATCCGGCTATTGGTCAAGTCACATACGGTAAACCTGGAAGGTAAGGCGAGTCGGGGCCATTAAATTATGGTACATCCTTTCGTAAAACTTTTTTTTCATTCGATCATATATATATATTAAAATTAGTAAAATTGTTTCTGTACACAAATTATAAAAAGCATTAAAATATTTGTTTTTTTATTTGAAATTATAAAAAGTTTTAACGTTTTTCGTTTTTTATTTGAAATTGTAAAATATTCAATGACGGGGTCCGTGTGAGAAGGATATTGAATAACGCACTGTAACGGATTAAAAGTAGTTTATTACTAAACGTGTGTACGGAGCCACCTCACAAATTTTAATCTAACTGAAAACTTAACGGACGTTGTTCAAAGATCGGGTAAACTGTTTGTCTCCTGTGCAGTTAAATTAAAATGTCCATTATTGAATGATTGCGTCCCTTTAAGATTGATCGTGTCGTGCGCCATCAACTTCACGATGTTCGGCGCGTCGGTCGTGTTCCTGCTCCTGGGATCTGAGAACTTGCAGTCGCTGGTCAAAGACCTGGGGAAGGACATCTCCTTCTGCTACTGGCTGTTTATCGTGGCCGGAGTCCTGCTTCCCATCAGCTGGCTCGGGACACCAAAAGATTTTTGGTAAGCTATTTCTCATGGCACAATTTCGTTTGCAGTAAATTGAGATATACATTTTGAGTTCAATGAAATGTAAATATTAAAAAAAAAGGGAATAAGATTAAAGAAGATAAGATTAAACAAGATAAGATTAAAGAAGATAAGATTAAAGAAGATAAGATATGAGGAAATAAGAGCAGAGAAAAAAAGAAAATAGTTGCGATAGAAACTCAACTGCGAGAATAGTACTCACGGATGTAGCAACGAACCTTATCAGACTAAGAGCTTAATACGACATTTTAAATGTTTATTCTTTCAAAAAGTTAACTATTAAACAAAACAAAAAACACATAGGTGAATGATGGTTTCGGGAGGTGGTCGGTCTGCCCTGCATTTCATTTAGGAATGAAACAGTAATAAAGTTAATATCAAGTATAAACAGTGAAGTTGTTTTTTTTTTTATTTTTTTTTACCAGAATTGTTTTTAAACATCTTGTTTTCTCTTTGGTCGAACATTCAACAAATAAAGAATACGGGTGTCGATGAATTTAGTGATAAAAGAACCGAAGATCATTGAATAATTTTTAGATAAAGTTTTAAAATATTTACATCTGTCCACCTGATGCCCACATGTTTGGCGGATGTATCACAAAACTGTTAATACTGTCTGACGAGGGGGGAATAGCAAATAGTTATGATGGGGGAAAAATTAATTACTTAATAAATTTTGCGAGTTTTTTTTTACTGGCTTAAAACGTATTAATATTGACAGTTAAATTGCTCACATTTTAGCATCCCAATAACAATTGACAATGATCTCTACAGGCCCATCGCCATCGGCGCCACGGTGGCCACAAGTGTCGCCTGCTGCGTAGTTCTGGCAAACATCGTCAAAGACAGCCACACCGTCCCTCCAGTCTTTCATGCACCCATTGAGTTCAAGCCTTTCGCCTTCGCCCTTGGAACCATCTGCTTCGCCTATGGAGGCCACCCAGCCTTCCCCACATTCCAAGCCGACATGAGGAATCCGGAGAAATTTGGAGTCGCGATTTTTATCTCTTACATGAGTGAGTAGATTGTGAGGGTATAGTTTCATGTGAGTAGATTGTGAGGGTATAGTTTCATGTGAGTAGATTGTGAGGGTATAGTTTCATGTGAGTAGATTGTGAGGGTATAGTTTCATAGTGAGTAGATTGTGAGGGTATAGTTTCATGTGAGTAGATTGTGAGGGTATAGTTTCATGTGAGTAGATTGTGAGGGTATAGTTTCATGTGAGTAGATTGTGAGGGTATAGTTTCATGTGAGTAAATTGTTAGGGTATAGTTTCATGTGAGTAGATTGTCAGGGTATAGTTTCATGTGAGTAGATTGTGAGGGTATAGTTTCATGTGAGTAGATTGTGAGGGTATAGTTTCATGTGAGTAGATTGTCAGGGTATAGTTTCATGTGAGTAGATTGTGAGGGTATAGTTTCATAGTGAGTAGATTGTGAGGGTATAGTTTCATTGTGAGTAGATTGTGAGGGTATAGTTTCATGTGAGTAGATTGTGAGGGTATAGTTTCATTGTGAGTAGATTGTGAGGGTATAGTTTCATAGTGAGTAGATTGTGAGGGTATAGTTTCATAGTGAGTAGATTGTGAGGGTATAGTTTCATAGTGAGTAGATTGTGAGGATATAGTTTCATTGTGAGTAGATTGTGAGGGTATAGTTTCATAGTGAGTAGATTGTGAGGGTATAGTTTCATTGTGAGTAGATTGTGAGGGTATAGTTTCATAGTGAGTAGATTGTGAGGGTATAGTTTCATGTGAGTAGATTGTGAGGGTATAGTTTCATAGTGAGTAGATTGTGAGGGTATAGTTTCATTGTGAGTAGATTGTGAGGGTATAGTTTCATGTGAGTAGATTGTGAGGGTATAGTATCATAGTGAGTAGATTGTGAGGGTATAGTTTCATTGTGAGTAGATTGTGAGGGTATAGTTTCATAGTGAGTAGATTGTGAGGGTATAGTTTCATAGTGAGTAGATTGTGAGGGTATAGTTTCATAGTGAGTAGATTGTGAGGGTATAGTTTCATAGTGAGTAGATTGTGAGGGTATAGTTTCATGTGAGTAGATTGTGAGGGTATAGTTTCATAGTGAGTAGATTGTGAGGGTATAGTTTCATGTGAGTAGATTGTGAGGGTATAGTTTCATAGTGAGTAGATTGTGAGGGTATAGTTTCATGTGAGTAGATTGTGAGGGTATAGTTTCATAGTGAGTAGATTTTGAGGCTATAGTTTCATGTGAGTAGATTGTGAGGGTATAGTTTCATGTTGAGTAGATTGTGAGGGTATAGTTTCATAGTGAGTAGATTGTGAGGGTATAGTTTCATGTGAGTAGATTGTGAGGGTATAGTTTCATGTGAGTATATTGTGAGGGTATAGTTTCATGTGAGTAGATTGTGAGGGTATAGTTTCATGTGAGTAGATTGTGAGGGTATAGTTTCATGTGAGTAGATTGTGAGGGTATAGTTTCATGTGAGTAGATTGTGAGGGTATAGTTTCATTGTGAGTAGATTGTGAGGGTATAGTTTCATAGTGAGTAGATTGTGAGGGTATAGTTTCATAGTGAGTAGATTGTGAGGGTATAGTTTCATAGTGAGTAGATTGTGAGGGTATAGTTTCATGTGAGTAGATTGTGAGGGTATAGTTTCATAGTGAGTAGATTGTGAGGGTATAGTTTCATGTGAGTAGATTGTGAGGGTATAGTTTCATAGTGAGTAGATTGTGAGGGTTTAGTTTCATTGTGAGTAGATTGTGAGGGTATAGTTTCATTGTGAGTAGATTGTGAGGGTATAGTTTCATTGTGAGTAGATTGAGAGGGTATAGTTTCATGTGAGTAGATTGTAAATGTATAATCTCATTGCTTTTGTTGGTATGAAATAGTAAGTATATGCTGTGTAGCAGCTTGAATAACTGACACAAGACAATAAAATGAACATTTCAGCTCAATGGTTTATTCTGCCAACACAATAAAATGAACATTTCATATGAATGGCTTATCCTGTCAATACGACAATAAAATGAACATTTCAACTGAATGGCTTATCCTGCCAACAATAAAATGAAAATTTCAACTGAATGGCTCATCCTGCCAACAATAAAATGAACATTTCAACTGAATGGCTTATCCTGCCAACAATAAAATGAACATTTCAACTGAATGGCTTATCCTGCCAACAATAAAATGAACATTTCAACTGAATGGCTTATCCTGCCAACAATAAAATGAACATTTCAACTGAATGGCTTATCCTGCCAACAATAAAATGAACATTTCAACTGAATGGCTTATCCTGCCAACAATAAAATGAACATTTCAACTGAATGGCTTATCCTGCCAACAATAAAATGAACATTTCAACTGAATGGCTTATCCTGCCAACAATAAAATGAACATTTCAACTGAATGGCTTATCCTGCCAACAATAAAATGAACATTTCAACTGAATGGCTTATCCTGCCAACAATAAAATGAACATTTCAACTGAATGGCTTATCCTCCCAACAATAAAATGAACATTTCAACTGAATGGCTTATCCTCCCAACAATAAAATGAACATTTCAACTGAATGGCTTATCCTGCCAACAATAAAATGAACATTTCAACTGAATGGCTTATCCTCCCAACAATAAAATGAACATTTCAACTGAATGGCTTATCCTGCCAACAATAAAATGAACATTTCAACTGAATGGCTTATCCTCCCAACAATAAAATGAACATTTCAACTGAATGGCTTATCCTGCCAACAATAAAATGAACATTTCAACTGAATGGCTTATCCTCCCAACAATAAAATGAACATTTCAACTGAATGGCTTATCCTGCCAAAACAACAATAAAGAAAATAAGAAAATCTGACATAAAGTATTTGGCTTGCAAACAGCTTAACAACCGTATGTAATGACAAAAGGAACGTATCTTCTTGTCATTGGTTTAGATATGTGTCTGTTTATAAACCAACGTGTTGATATGTCTTTTAAATTAGAATGTTTACCATCAAGTTGTATAACTGAAGCACCTTCCAGCAACAATCGGTTTAACATCAGCTTGTTTAACATCCAGTCGTGTTGCTGATGTACCTTCCGGTTGCCATCGCTGGTTACATGGTGTACGGCATCAACACCAAGGACAACATCCTGGCGACGGTCTCGTCGGGCCCCATGCAGTACGCCGTTGAGATCCTCATCACAATGCACATCTTCTGCAGCTTCATCATCGTCATCAACCCCGTGTGTCAGGAGTTTGAGGAGCTTCTCAGGATACCAACACGTTAGTTGATGTGCATGTGCCTGCTAGTCAGTCTCATCTTGTGTTTGTATACCTATTAGACGTATACTTGTGTCTGAAATGGGTCAGTCTTATCTTGTGTTTGTATACCTATCAGACGTATACTTGTGTCTGAAATGTGTCAATCTTATCTTGAGTGTGTAAACTATCAGCCGTATACTTGTTTCTGAAATGTGTCAGTCTTATCTTGTGTTTGTATACCTATCAGACGTATACTTGTGTCTGAAATGTGTCAGTCTTATCTTGTGTTTATATTTCTTTTAGACGTATACTTCTTCTATATATTAAGGGCCCACGATCAATTTATTGATCATTTTGGCTCCTATGCATGTAGAGGGGATTTGCAATGTTTCTGTACCTGGTGTTGATGATGATATTTCACTGGTTGCAAAGGGTATCATGCACTGGGGTTGGAAGGCCTGAGGCAATAGACGCAAATGTGTCAAGTGTTGTCGCCTCAACTGCTCCTTTTGAAAGCTTGTTCCTGTCCCTGATTGTCTTTGGCGGGACTGAGCAGCTCCTATACAGGCTTCTTGCTGGTATGAGCCGGAATTGCCTGTCCTGGCCTCGTCGCTGTCTACACTTGTGTCTGTAATGTGGCTGTCTCATCTTGTGTTTGTATACTTTTGTAGACGTATACATATGTCTCTAATGAGTCAGTATATTTATGTGTTTCCTTATAATAGACAATTGTAAATTATTTTTTAAACGATGCATAAAAACCTATAATGTTCATGAATGATTTATCAAAGAGCGGTCAATTCTTATTGAATTATTCTAATTCTTATTGAATTATTCTTTTTTATTCTTTACTGTCTAGTTTTTTTAATGTCATCTAAAATTGTATGCTACATCCTGCTTAATTCTACAACCCACATATGCTACATCCTGCTCATGCTACATCCTGCTCATGCTATATCCTACGAATGATACATCCTAATTATGCTACATCCTACTCATGCTACACTTTCCTTCATTCTAAAACTGTATGCCACATGCTACCCCATTCAAACGCCAGGTCTCCTCTACTACGAACGAACCAGTCCAGTTGTTTCAAATGGGTTCTGCAATTTTCTCATCAGATTTCGGAGTCAAGCGTGTTATATTCCGCACGGTGATGATGGGTGTGATACTGTTTGTGGCCGAGTCCGTCCCTCACTTCGGCGCCATCTTATCTCTCATAGGCGGCTCAACGCTGACTCTTCTGGCTTACATCCTACCTCCCATCTTCTACCTGAAACTGTGCTCTATGACGGGGGACTGGGACAAAGTGTGAGTACCATTGTCAAGTCTACTGGTAGTAAAGACAGTGATTATTGGAGGTGCCTTTTAAAGAAAAAGTTTGGGTACCTTATAAATATATAGTCTTGTTGGTATCGTATAAATATATAGTCTTGTTGGTATCGTATAAATATATAGTCTTGTTGGTATCGTATAAATATATAGTCTTGTTGGTATCGTATAAATATATAGTCATGTTGTATCGTTTAAATATATAGTCTTGTTGGTATCGTATAAATATATAGTCTTGTTGGTATCGTATAAATATATAGTCTTGTTGGTATCGTATAAATATATAGTCTTGTTGGTATCGTATAAATATATAGTCTTGTTGGTATCGTATAAATATATAGTCTTGTTGGTATCGTATAAATATATAGTCTTGTTGGTATCGTATAAATATATAGTATTGTTGGTATCGTATAAATATATAGTCTTGTTGGTATCGTATAAATATATAGTCTTGTTGGTATCGTATAAATATATAGTCTTGTTGGTATCGTATAAATATATAGTCTTGTTGGTATCATATAAATATATAGTCTTGTTGGTATCGTATGAATGTTCTGTTTTGGTTGGATCATTCATGGAGATATTGGTAGATCTAGCTTTACAATAATGTTACAATATGTTACTTTACACATTTTTAATGAAGTGGCTGTATGGTGGTCTGCACCTAACCTCTAATGAACTAAACAGTCTGAGCTTCTGGGTTCAAATCTTCTCCGCAACTGAGTACGTTCCACCCAAAGCTATCGCCTGGGTCCTGCAACCCCAGAGGCCGACCTTTTCAACATTAACTTAAGAAACGATCAACTATGAATGAAGGTGTGCCCAAAACCGAACAGTGGCAGGGGCCTCAAAAAGTCACGTGATAGCTCCGGTTACACCCGCTCATTGCTGCAATAGAATGATGTAACCGTGGGTGATCGATTACGTGTGTAGCGCTTGTGTCCATGCTATTTTAGCCCGCTCACAGCGCTCGCTAACTTCACTGAGAATAGCTGTAGCCCATCAAACAGATGGACATTTTCATGATTAGCATAGATTTAAAATATTACACATTTTACCATTTCCACAATCGCCTCGAGGTCTAGGATGAAAAAAAGAAATTTAAAGGCTTCTATAAGTATTTACCATCATTCAAAAGTTCTTTTACAATAAGTTGTTTTTTTTTTCAAATGAGTATCAACATAATTTTCTTTCCTCGATGAGATTCAGTCGAACTTGAATGAGTGTTTCCAGATCACTAAGTAAGGAAATTCAGTCGAACTTGAATGAGTGTTTCCAGATCACTAAGTAAGGAAATTCAGTCGAACTTTAAAGTTATTTAGTGACCTGGAAATACAGTTAATTTAAACACAGAGCTTAACATAAAAAATAAAACAAAAACATAAAAAAATAACGACAATAAGAAGAAAATAATGATATTAAAGTAATAAGCATAGACTCGCTATAAAAATGATTATTGCTTTGTGTCATCCCAAACTCAAGAGAAGAAGTCTTTTTACCAGAACAAAACTTGGAATGTTCACATGTTGTTACTTACTCCCCTTGGTTCAGATGCATTCGTGACGTTAAAGCACCACAGCATAACATCCAAACCTTCATAGAGACGTGTGTGTTATTTTTTTAATTATTTTTTTTTTAAATTTTCTGTCTTCCGTTGATTCCAGCGATGCCTCGCTCCACCAGAAATTCGCTTGTTTCGAGATCGTCCTGGTGGGCTCGATTGTTGGAATAGCCGCCACGTACTCGGCGGTCGTCTCCTTGGCAACCAGCAGCTTCTCGACCCCGTGTTACATCAACAGCGACGCCAGCCAATGAGAACTGAACAGAACAACAACAACAAAAAATCATAGTTTATATATATATATATAATTAAATTATTTTTTTATTGATGTACATAGTGTTACAGCTAGGAAATGAATGTACTTTTCAACTTATCGGCCTTCTTAATGTTTAAAACCTTGGGCCTCTAGTACTTATTTACCATCTATTGAGTGCAGTGGCGTAGCTAGGGAATGGTGCCACCCGGGGCGGATCGATAATTTTACCCGCCCCCTTCCGTGAAAACAACTCTGCAGTTGGGTCACCATGTCGACCATGAACTTAAAGAGGAAAAAAAAGTGCCGTCCGGGGGTGGAGCGCCCCCTCCACACCATCCCCCCCCTTCTTACGCCACTGACTGAGTGCAATATCTTTTTCTTATGTTCATTCTGTCGCATGTTAGTAAAATGCGTTGCAATTGTGTGTTTTAAAATTTTCTTTTGATAAAAATACACATTTCGGTTCATTTGGCATGGGTTTGAATAGCTTCTTTTCCTAAATGTAAATGAAAGACAACTCTGATTCAGACTATTGCATCTGTAGATACACTGGTTTATTCCCCCTTTTATAAAAGTTGCGTTTTAAAAAAAATACATCATGACGGCAAGTTAGGTGTTAAATATTTCTTTTTTTTTTTTAATATTTTGTTTTTGTTTGTTTGTTTTTTTTTTTTTTTTTTTTTTTTATGGTTTATTCCCCCTTTTATAAAAGTTGCGTTTTAAAAAAAATACATCATGACGGCAAGTTAGGTGTTAAATATTTCTTTTTTTTTTTAATATTTTGTTTTTGTTTGTTTGTTGTTTTTTTTTTTTGCTTATTTAAAAAAACAGTCGCTTTAATTTGAAATAGATAAACTTAATTTTGAAAAAGAAACTGCACCTTTCATTGTTATAGAATAACTACACTGAAAACTTGATTTCAGCAGTTTCAGAGTACAAATGTCAGTTACGTAATAGAGCAGGAGTCGGCAAACAACGGTCCGTGGGCTGGTTCCGGCACGCGGCTTCGACTTACCCGGCCCGCCAGGAGCTTATTAATTTAAATCAATATTATAATTTTTTATTCTGAAATTCAGGACCAACATGCGCGTGAAACGGTATCGAAGCCCTTTTCCACCGAATACAATAAAGAAAGAATCGACTTCTTGTAGTAATTCTTAATGTCCTACCCTTGTAATTCTACAATGTAAAATGTTATGAGTTTGCTTAAATAATGTCGACCTTTCGACCAATAATAATTTTTGGAGAAAAAATTGGAATCTGAAGTTTAAGCCAATCTGGTTAAGTGTTGATGAGGGGTTGATGTACTCACTTCCCATGCTGTAAACCTGCGTAAGGAGCGACAGACCCAATTCCTCACGAGTTAGAGCCATGTGCACTCTCTGACCTTTACCCGATCTCGGTGCACGTGAAAAATAAAAATTTTTAAAAAATATATATTTCTCCATGCCGGGTTGATTGCTGTGTTGTGGATGAAATCCCATCTGAACTTCAAATTGAAGGGATCGATGAAGTGATCGGTGATGTATATTGCAAGACATACAAAGAAGGCAAACTGGGAGAATTGTATAAGTGTCTCCCTAAAAAAATTATGAATTCATATAAAGAATCTTTTGCTTGAGAATTCATTTGATTTTGTTCACTTACCACTTTTGTGAGAAGAAATGTATAAATATTAAATATGTAATAGGGCCAACTTATAAATGAAAACAGAGCCGACGTATTAGATAAACACAGGGCCAACTTGTTAGATAGACACAGAGCCAACTTATCATATCAGCACTTGCAAACAAAAATTAACGACTGTGAGTAATAGCTTTGAGCGCCATTTAAATATCATTGCGTGAGAAAGCCAGTTTCATTGCATCTAATTGATGTGAAAGAGACGATTTTGAAATTCAGATTTGTTTTCGTCTAACATTTCATTTGTAGTCATTAAATTAATGCAATATATTGCATTAAAAAAAAACGCCAACGACATTCTCTTACCTACCGGCCCACAGCCCCCAAACGATATTCTCTTATCTAGCGGCCCACAGCTCCCAACGACATTCTCTTACCTACCGGCCCACAGCCCCCAAACGATATTCTCTTACCTACTGGCCCACAGCTCCCAACGACATTCTCTTACCTACCGGCTCACAGCCCCCAAACGATATTCTCTTATCTACCGGCCCACAGCCCCCAAACGATATTCTCTTACCTACCGGCCCACAGCCCCCCCCCCCCCCCCCCCCAATTTTTCTTCCCTATCCCCCCCCCCCCCCCCAAAAATGTTTGGACCCCCCCCCCC